AAGACAGACCTTAGCTGTAGCTGTACTCAACCACACAAACTTTGGAAGCTGTCAGCAAATACCTAATGGGTAGCCAGATGTGTACAAGTGACTGTCCTTACTGTTTTACAGCAGTTCTCAACCTGTGACTCCAGGATCAGTTGCATCAGCATCATTTAAGAACTTGTTAAATATGCAAATTCTTGTCCCTCTATCCCCCACCCCCCCAGTTACAAAATCACACAGCTGGCAGGGCCTAGCAATCAAGGTTTTAAGCCTTCTAGGTGATTCTGATGTATAGCTTGGGACTCTAGGAGAGCTTTAGAATATATAAGTGTTTAAGATAGAAAAACATTAAGAAATACAGATGCGATCTTAAAAAGTGTATAATCTTTGGTTTGTATTATAATACAAAACAATTATGGAAGTTTTCGTTTCCTTTAGAAGTCAAAGGTTCGCAACAAAGACCAATGGCATTATTTATACCAAGGAGGCAAGAGAGACAGGATTTGAAAGAATGACAGAACACGTGAATAAAGAATCAATGGTTATCCTCAAGTGTAGAGGTCCACTGTCTGAATTTAATGTGCCTGTGGCTCCCATGAGCCAGAGCCCTGGTATGTATGTAGTTGTTACTTGTTGGGCTGCGATCTGCATGGTCGGTAGTCCCAGACCACCAGCAGCTCCTTGGGAGAAAGACTGGGCTTTTCACTCCCCTCAACAGTTACCATCTCAGAAACCCACGGGGTGGTAGGGGGTGGTGGTGGGAGGGTCACTATGAATCAACAATGAGTCCATGGCAGTGAGAGGTGCTCTCACAAGGACCCCAGGTGGTGTACTCGTTAAAGTGCTTGGTGCTTAGACCCATCAGCATCTTCTTGGGAGAAAGATGTGGCAGTGTTCTTCTGTAAAGGTTATACAGTTCTGCTCTGCCTTTAGAGGGTCACTAGGACTAGAAATTGACTTAATGGCTATGGGTTTTTGGTTCGGTGGCTCTCATAGGGAGTCTTGTGGAGCTGTAGCTAAATACTTGGCTGATATCAAAAGGTTGGTGGTTTGAAGCCACCAGCCAGCCACTCTCCAGGGAAAAGATGTGACAGTCTGCTTCTGTAAAGAGTTACAGCCTTGAACACCCGATGGGGCAGTTCTATGCTGTCCTTCAAGGACTGCTATGTGCATGGAGTTGAAGAGACTGCAAAGGGTTTGGTGGTTCTCCCTCAATTTCCACCCTAACCTAAAAGGGCTTGTTATCACACCCTCTAGTCCAGCGGTCAACCTTCCTCAGGCCTCGACCCTTTCAGACAGTTCCTCATGTGGTGGGGACCCCCCAACCATAACATTATTTTCGTTGCTACTTCACTGTCATTTTGCTACTGTTATGTCTCGGGAGACCCCTGTGAAAGGGTTGTTTGACCCCCCAAAGGAGTCTTGACTCACAGGTTGAGAACCACTGCTCTACTCAATGCACTACTTAACTACCCAACTGGTCTCTCTGATTTAAGATAGCCTCCTCTTCCTCTAGTCTCTTATTAGCTTCTGCAGACTCTTCCCTAAATATTACAGTTGTCCCATGAGATTCTGACTCAAAAAACCCATAATGGTTCACTACTGCACCTGGAGGCCTAGACAGGAAATGTAAATGAGTGAAGTAGGTCACAGACAAATTCTTTCACTTACCACAAAGACATATTGCTCATTGCTATTTTTTGTTTTCCTATTTTTATTAAAGATACTATTATAAGGAAGATAATAGTGAAGAAATGATAAACAGCGATAAAAGGATGTGTAGTATGTAAATAATAAGATTATGGTAAATTAAGAGCCTTCTAAGTATTTAGCTCTGCTTTTTGTATCCAACTTTCCTCGACTACATTAAGCCCCCAAGTTTTCTCTCCCTTTTTAGAACTTCAATTGTTATGCTCAGTACTTTCAATCTGGTGTTTTCCAACAATTTTAACCATCAAATTATTTTCAAATTACTTCATATTAGTTCATGTTGTTTCTATATTTTTAAACGGTTTTATTAGCATTTCATCCAAGTCATACAATTCAATAATTCAGTCATATCAAGAAGAGTTGTACAGGGTGAAGGGAGACGTCGGACAGGGCAAGATATGACAAAATAATAGTTTATAAATTATCAAGGGCTCACGAGGGAGGGGGAGCGGGGAGGGAGGGGAAAAACGAGGACCTAATGCCGGGGGCTTAAGTGGAGAGGAAATGTTTTGAGAATGATGAGGGCAATGAACGTATAGTGTGCTTTACACAATTGATGTATGTATGGATTGTAATTTAAGAGTTCTATGTGCCCCTAATAAGACGATTTAAAAAAAAGAGTTGTACAATTGTCACTATATTCAATTCTAGACAATTTTCTTCTCCCTTGTAGTCATTGTTATTCATATATTTTTTCCCTAATTGTGGCAAAAAATGTACACACCAGAACATTCTCCAAATCCACAACTTCTACTTGTATAATTTAGTGCCATTGATTATACTCTCCGTGTTGTACAAACACTATTGATATCATTTTCCAAATTATTCTACCACCATTGACATAAACTCAATGCCCCTACGCATCAACTCTTTCCCCCTCGCCTGTGGTAACCATTGGTCAAATTTGGTTTCTTTCTCTTTTTTTTCATGGTTTTCTTGATATAGTATTCGCAAAGCATACACTTCTATGGTTAAATCGCTTTTAAAATGAGTTGTATATAAATAATCACAATCAGTTCTAGTGCTCCCTCCCCACCTCCCAGATTCATTGTTTGCTCCCAAATGTTTGCTTCCAAATCCCTTCACTCTCCCTATCCCCCGCCCCCATATCCCCAATAAACCATTGCATTAGTTATTTATCTCTATGGATCTACTCTTTTTGTGCATCACAAACTGGGAAACCCAACAGAAACAATAAAAAACAAAAACAAATAAAATGGCAAGGATAAAATAATAATAATATAAAAATACAAATAACGAGTAAAAAAGAAAAGGCCACCATCAATATTTAAACAGCCAGGGGAAAAAGTTTTCATCACAGAACAAGCAAGAAAAGCTTGCGCCTGGAACAAATTAAGGTTGGGTCAAGAGGGAGGTACACTGATCAAGTATCAAGTTCGATCCAGCACAGTCAAGTTTACAATGATCTCTGTTTGATAGTAATGCTGTTCGATCAAGTCCATTGCCTGTGGCTAGAGGGGGTCTTCCAGAAACTTAATTTGACTACTCTTCAGATGGGTTTTGGGCTCCCCCTCATTGTCCTCGATAGCCTTCTATAAATTGGATGTGTACAATTTAAGTTCTAATACTTTTCCTTTTGTCATATTTGGGTTTTGTTATTCTTATCTTTGGATCACATAAGCTGATGTGATGTGATTCTTCCATGTGGGCTTTGTTGACTCCTTACACTTAGATGGCTGCATGTTTGAATACAAGCTTTTTACTTAAGACCCCAGACACTATTCCATTTGATAGCTGGGCACCATCTGCTTTCTTCATCGCACTTTGCTGTAGCACCCTTGTTTTCACAAATCATTTCATGAATATAAGTATTGAGCAGGGCCATGTTATCAGAACTAACTCTTCTTTGACTGGGCCTAGAGTTAAGTGGGAGCCCAGAATTCATCTACCTGTCCAGAGTCATGGGATTCTCATTTATTTTGGCGGTCGTATTATGACAAAATTAGAACCCCATAAGACCACCATCACTTGAAGAAAGCTAGTGGTGCACAGCTATCAAGAGATATCGCATCTGGGGGTCCTAAAGGCTTGAAGATAAACAAGTGACCATCTAGCTGAGAAGCAACAAAGTCCACATGGAAGAAGCATACCAGCCTATGTGATCATGAAGTGTTGAAAGGATCAGGAATCAGGCATCCAAGACCCAGAACAAAAAAATCCTATCATTGTGAATGAGAGGGCGTGCAGAGTAGAGACCCAAACCCATCCGTAGGCAACTGAACAACCCCTTACAGAAGGGTCTTGAGGAGGACACGAGCCAGTCAGGGTGCAGTACAGTACCAATGAAACATACAACGTCCCTCTAGTTTTTTAATGCTTCCTTCTCCCCATTATTATGACCCCAATTCTACCTTACAAATCTGGCTAGAGCAGAGCATGTACATGGGTACAGATAAGAGCTGGAAACACAGGGAATCTAGGACAGATAAACCCCTGAAAGTAGCTATACCAGTAGGGTAAGGGGAAGTTGAGGGGAGAAAGGAGGTAGATCACAATGATCTACCTATAGCTCCCTCCCAGGGGGGTGGACAACAGCAAGTGGATAAAGGTAGACATTGGTCAGTGTAATACATAAAAAAAATAAAAATCTATAAATTATCAAGGGTTCATGAGGGAGGGAGGATGGGGAAGGGAGGGGGGGAAATGAGCTGATACCAAAGGCTCAAGTAGAAAGAAAATGTTTTAAAAATGATAATGGCAACAAATGTACAAATGTGCTTGACCCAGTGGATAGATGGATTGTGATAAGAGTTGTATAAGCCCCCAATAAATGATTTAAAAAAAAAAAAACCACCACCACTACCAACAGCAACCAACCAGCAAACAAACTAACAAAAGGCAGAAAAATACAAACCAAAGAAACAAAAGAGGAAAACATTGTCAATCATCTCCCTGGGGTATAACGGATAACATCAACAAATTTCCAATGACACAGCACTCTATTGTAGTTTGAGGAGTTCATTTGAGCACAATTCCACTGTGAGCCATACCCCATGAGTTGTTGCGCTATACAGTTCAATCTCCCAACCGATTGAGCTCTCTTTAACCTGAGCACAGAGATGGTGACCGGAAAAACTTGCTGGATCAATTCTTAGAAGTGCAGATCCCTACCCAACAGATCAAAACCTGTCATATCAATGCAAGGGGGCCATAGAGGTATTAAATATACGGTGACTCTGGGTCTCTTTCCACTGGACACCCACCAAGCCAGGGGTTCCCCCCAAGGTCCAATGACTACCACTTTTAATGGCCCGGGGCAGCCGCTCTCTGCTTCCTCTCCTAACAGAGTACCCCAGTCCTCAGTCCATTCAACGGGCCTCTATGTTGCGTCTCTCTGGTGTAGCCCCTGGGGGATGCCATGCTGCCGGCAAGGCCGGTCATGCTATCATCCTCTTTTCTATTTGATTTATTCCTAGCCCTGGGATGGAGCAGAAGCAGAGTTATGATGGTAAGACTCACCAGTCTGATGTTGTCTTCTGGGCGGAGTAAAATGAACATTGCTTGAAGATGCTGTTGGAGATCGCCTGGTAAAATGTACAAAACAAGGATTATTAATCTCCACTCTAATGTAAATAGAGAAGAGTCCTTCTACCTTAATGACTTTTATATAAAGAAACTTCTAGGTCACTGAAAAATTCTAACTAGTCAGAGCAAATAGGAGCATGGTGGACCACTTCATACATTCATTTTTAGTCTGTACTGCATTAAAATTTGTATTGTTTCTACCAATACAAGGAGCTCTTGAAAATAATTCTAGTTTTGAACGATGGTGGAAGCTGGTAGGGGTGATGGTGAGATTTCCTGGGAAGAGGCAGTACTACTTGGAATCTCAGGTCCATGGCATTTTGAGAAAGGGGAGTGTGTAGTGCTAGAAAAATTATCCCAATTCTCAGAAACAAAAAAAAGAAATGATTTTGAAATTCCCACTTTGATAAAACCTGTAATCCTAGTCTTCAATTAAACTCAATCTAAAGAAGATTTATGACTTAAACCGCCAACAGTTTAAAATAATTTCTGCATTAGTGGTTGATGTTAAAGTCAGCATATTTATTAAACCGAATGGGTCTCAAGTGATTATAGCCTAATGGACACTATTATTGAGTAGCTGAAATGGTCAACCATTATTTGAATCCTCACCTGTTCATACATATCGTATAAAAAGACGTAGAAATTTCTTTTTATTAAACTGTTGTATTGTACTTCCTATTCTGCATGAGGAAATCAGAGGCTTTGGAAGACAGGAGATAATCAGATTATGGGGTGTTATAAATCATCACAATCAGAGAACAAAAAAATCTTCATTCTGCCTACTCATCTTTATTGCCAAATAGTATATCATTGTTTGGCTATACCACATTTTAATTTACCTATTCATCCCTTGTTCCACACCCTCTTCTGAATCTGGCCTGAACTTCTGGCAATTCCTTGTCAAGGTGCTGCTATAACCATTGTTGGATGATCTTAAAATTTTACTTGTGTGTAGTATCAAATTTCCTTTTGTCTTATCACTAGAACCCTGGTACCGGTATCTTTAAGCAATGAACTGCTAGCTGCAAGTTTAGCCAGTTCAAATCCACAGCACCCTTTAGGAGAAAGTTGAGACTACCTGCTTGTGTGAAGATTTATAGCCTTGGAAACCCTATTACCCAGGCTTGCTCTGAGTTGGAATCAACTTCATGGCAGTGAGTTTTCTATTCCATTAGAGAAAATAACCTTAAGCAAAGGATTTTTAGAATGGAAAACTCCAGGTAAATGGCAGACCAAAGTCCCTGCTCTAAGCACTCTTGACCCAAAGATCCAACTAGTTTCTATTTGAAGGACAGACAACATTTAGGGAGCCCCATCCTTAGTAAGGCTTCTTAGGAGAGTCGAGTGTGTGGAAGCTCAGGTTTGTAAACAGTGAACAGGACTATTAACAACTAACAGGTTATTTCCCATGGAGAGACTGTTTGTCACAGAGACCAACAGAGAATCTATTGGCATTCTCTCTCTCTCTTTTTTAAAAAGTTTTATTGGCACTTTATTATCGGCACTCTAAGGAATTTTGGTGGTACTGTCCGCTAAGTGCTGAACTGTTAACCTCAAGGTTCGCAATTCAAAACCACCAACTGACTGCTCCATGGGAGAAAGATGAGGCTCTCTGCTTCCATAAAGATTTACCTGAGAAACCCAATATAGGGTTGCTATCGGTCAGAATCAACTCGGTGGTAGTGGGTTTATGTGTTTTGGTATTAAGATTCCTCCCAAAATTTGCTACATATTTCTTGCCACTGCTAGTAGCTAAGTTCCAGATTTCTGTTAGATTTTAATGCCTTTAAGATAGTTTCGCTTTTAAAAGTTACCAGATAGTCACCTATAGTATCATTTTTTAAATCATTTCTTATCACAATCCATACAACCATCCATTGTGTCAAGCACATATGTACATTTGTTGCCCTCATCATTCTCAAAACCTTTGCCTTCTACTTTAGCCCTTAATATCAGCTGCTCATTTCCCCCGTCTCCCTCATGAACCCGTCATAATTCATAAATTATTATTGTTTCGTCATAAGTTACACTGTCCGACATCTTTCCCCACCCTCTTCTCTGCTGTCCATCCCCCAGGGAGGAGATTATACGTAGATTCTTGTAATTGGTTCCCCCTTTCTAACCCACATTCCCTCCACCCTCCAGGCATCATCACTCTCACCATGGTCTTGAAGGGATCATCTGTCCTGGATTCCCTGTGTTTCCAGTTGCTATCTGTACCAATGTACATCCTCTGGTTAA